AAAAAATAAGCAAATTCAACCTGCTGAAAAGGTGCTTAAGAGGGGATGTTATAGCAGTCTTCAAATACCAAAAGGGCTACCATACAGAAGAGGAAGAACACTTTTTCTCTCTTGTTGCAGAGAGCAGGATGCTGACCAATAGTTTGAAGTTGCACCAAAATAGTTTTAGACTGGATATTAGGAAAACAGTCTTCACTGGTAGAGCAATGAGGCAGTTTAAAAGACTGTGGGAAGTTGTGGACTCTCCACCAGTGAAGGCATTTAAGAAGAGATTGGACAGGGATGGTCTAGAAGTTGTTATGCCTATGTTGTCCTATGGGTATTTCCAATGCTTTTGGGCTATGCCACAGAGGCCTGGGAAGGAATTCCCCCTCGCCCCTCCTGCTGCTATGTGCTTCAAGGAACTTTTTTTTTTGCCTTTCTCAGAAGCATTGGGGGTGAGCTACAGCCAAAGCTAGACATTTTGACTGAGATGTGCCCATGCTCCTGGCTTAAAGCTGGAGGTTCCTGGCTAGAGGGTCTTGTCCCTCTGCTCGGGGTCAGGCTGATCATCATATTTGGGGTCAGGAAGGAATTTTACCCCGTGGTCAGACTGGTACAGACTGTGGACGTTTCTGCCTTCCTCTGTAGTGGGGATCGTGGCCCTCTTCCTTGGATCTCTTGAACATATTTTAACAACCATCATAGCAGAAGTGCATTGGCTACTGTAGTTCACCCTATGTTACCTGCAGCAGGTTAGGGTGTTATGCCTTGGGTTCTGTCAGGGTTGACTTTGTAGTTTTACTAAGAGGTCAGACAATGGATTGGTACAGGATGGGTTAGATATGAATGATCTTGCCTCTTGCAGGGGGTTAGGCTAGATGATCTCTGGAGGTCCCTTCCAGCCCTACTTCTCTATGAGTCTATGAACTAAGCAGTTAACTTTAATTGTGCGAGATATGGGACTGTTCAGCCTAGAAAAGAGAAGACTTTGGGGGGATTTGGTGGCAGCTTACAAATATATCAGGGGAGAGCATCAGGGGCTAGGCAAAGAACTATTCAGCAAAGTGCCCCAGGGGAAAACTAGGGGCAACAGTCATAAACTCCTAGAAGAAGGTTTCAGACTGGATATAAGGAAAAACTTCTTCATGGTTTGTGTGACCAGACTCTGGAATAGACTCCCAGCAGGGGTGGTGCAGGCACCTACCCTAGAGATCTTTAGAAGGAGACTGGACACACACCTTGCTGGGTTTATTTGACCCCAGCAGTCTTTCCTGCCCAGAGCAGGGGGGCTGGACCCGGTGATCTCACGAGGTCCCTTCCAGCCCTGAACTTGTGTGAATCTGTGTGCTTAATTCTCGTTACTTTAACTTCAAGCACATGCTTAAGTGTATTCTGAATACGGATGGACTTAAACACATGCCTAAAGCTGAGTTGGGCTCTCAGGGCAGAGAGAAGAGGAATATTGCATTTGTAAAGGATTCTACACTATTGATTTGATGGCTAAATAAAAAAGGAGGAAATGATACTCTGTCTTTGTAGTAATAAAAGGAGAGTCATGCTTTTTAAAAGGTTTTCTTGTTCAAATTGCTATTTGTAGCTTGACAATACAATAGCTTTAACAGCTTAAATACAGACTCTAAAAGACTGCATTGTTCCTTACAATCAAAACCATATTCACTATTTACGTTTTCTTCAAAAGTGAAATTATTGTAATGAAGTATCCACAAACACAGATCAGTGGAATCCACAAACATCTGGCAGAGAGTTGCATTAATGTTTCCATTCTGAATTGAATTATGTCTCTTCTGTGGACTATAATAGAGGGGGAGCTCTGCAAAGGGCAGTGTCTGAAATTACAGTGAGGGGATCATTTCCCAAATCCTCAAAAACTCAAAGAAACCAACAGCCTGAGTGGCGAGGATGCTTAGCAAGGAGGAAACACTAGACAATTGAGAGAGAGGCAAACAGAAAGCTTCCAAGGCAAGAGAGCCGTTAGACTGAGCTACCCTATTGCTCATAGGGGTGAGCTCATAACTGTTAGACTGAGCAACCCTATTGCTTATTACTCAGGTTATCATTCGACAGTGACCTTTGTGATTCTATAGCACAGCTCTAATTCTCCATTGCTCTCTAATGGATGGTGCAGGTATTCTTTAGAAGGGATATCTGTCACTCTCAAAGTCTGTATTTTTAAGAATCCTATTCCTATTAAATGATAAAGGTCTTTTACATGAGGAAAGTATGTCCAGCTATACACCACCATACATCACTGGTTTGAAAGACAGGTTCTGCTTAGGATGTGAGTAGTTAAGTGAGCTGCAGAGCACTACCTGTAACTGCTACAGACAAACAAATGACACCTAGTTGATTTAAGCTGAGTAATAAGGTCCTGTACAGATAGAAATGATAACCCTTTTTCTTTCCTTGACATTGGCTCCTCATCTCCCTCCATGTTTTGTTCTTCCTGGTCTAAAATGGCTTTTTGCAGGACTCTGCAGCCAGGCCAATGCCTGACTACCATTTTTAGTCCTTGGGACTTTGATGTGGTTAGAAGTCTGGGCCTTCTCAGACACGAGCAGAATTCTTGAATGCAGGAATGTAAAGGAGAGCACAACTGGGATTAGAGCTGCTAGGTTTGACATCTGGAAAGGAAATGCAGTTCAGCAATGCCAAGCAACATTTCTATAGCATATGGTACTCCATTGCAGAAAGGAATGGAGCTGGTAGAAGAAGCTGTTCAGAGAAGTCAGATGGCTGGCTGCTGAACTGCTCCAGGGGGGCTGGCACCTTCTTTGCCTTTACCTTGCTTCAGTGTGATGGCATCTGACACCCAGCACCCACTGGCATTAACTGCATCTTTAGAAAAGGGCTATTTCACCTCTATGTCAAGTTGCCATTTCCTATTCTCAGTCCTTCTATCAACATACTCATTTAAGATACTAATGCACTAGCTAGGGCCTACAAATAGGTTCCATCCCCTCTACACATCACACCCCACAAACAAGTTAGTTCCTTATAGAAACTGAATCTATTCTAGGGTCCAGCTCTCATTCCAACTGGAGGAAAAATTCCCACTGGAAATTAAGAAAAAGCAAGAAAGAATTAGCTGCTGTAGTTCTACCTCATTAAAAATGGAGTTTTACCCAGCAGGATAATAAATATCTGCTTCATCAGTTCTAAAAATCAGAAAACCTGCAAGCTGCTCAACCAGCCTGACTCCTTGTTGTCCAATTCAACTAGTTCAGCTAGACTGTAAGGCCCATAGGGACATCCCAAGCAAGTCTGAGTCTTGAGGCAAACAAGAGCCAAGTAGCACAGTTGTGCACGGCTGGCTGCTGGAAACCCAGGGCACTTTTACACAGATTAATCGAGTCGGGTGGAGCGTTCTAATCCGAACGCTCTGGTTTGCCGCAGCGTCTTGTGTATTCAGTGTCCCATGTTTCAAAATAGTGGTGGGGGTGCTTAAACTAAAGTTCATTGAACGAGCTTTAGTTAAAGCACCCCTGCTGCCACTTCGAAATGCGGGATGCTGAATACATGAAATACTGCGGGTGTTTTAATTAAAGCGGCTCCCGAGCGCCACTCTAATTAAAGCCCCCCACCCCTGGAGCATGTGTATAGGTTCCCCCAGACTTGGCTCGTGCAATGGGGTTCATACTCCAGAACTAGAAGCTGAGAGAGAGAGAAAGGGAAGGAACTTGGACTCCTCTCCTGCCATTGCATGCATTAGAGTACTGAAGATTACACCTGAGCTAATATCTTTGATGCTCTCCAGGGAACTCCACAGAGCTTGTGCAGTGGCCGGGGCAGGGCTCATCCACAGTTTCCGGCCTGTTTAGCTTTGCTCTGTCATTGCATATCAAGGTATTCATTCACAACCTTCCTCAGAACGAACGTCTCCAGTTGCTCTTCAGTCACGCTCATGAATACCCTGACCAATTCTATTAGTTCCTGATGTGTAACACAGAGAATCTGCAGCTCCCAAGAGATTTCTTCAGAACGGGAGTGCTGGAATTACAATGTGAGGCCTTCACAAGGCAAGGTGTGGGGGCTGTGGGGGTAGAAAGGAAGCTGGTTTCTCCATCCAGAACCCAAAACTGGACACTGTGATTTAACTGCTGGGGTAGGACATTATTTAGTGGCCTTCTAGCATGGCTTTTAGAACTGAAAACAATTCATGGTTACATAATGCTGTGATTATAAAACTGTCTCATCACATTAATCCTTTTCATTCTACCCTATTCCAGCTGGTTAAGGAAAAAATTAGTTCTGGTATAGAGAAATGAATACGAACATTGATCCTAGGTTCCCCAGGCAGGAATTGCTGCATTAAATGATTTAGAAGTGTAGCCTGTGGCAGGCAGATTATAACATTACTCCAGCCCTAGCCTTCAAAACTAAAATATGCAAAAGTAAATATTTTGAGATCATTAGAAAGAAGGCCCACACAAATACAAAGAAGTCTGATGTTCTTGCAGTCCTCCACAAAACCCATGTGCAATCACTAGCCATTAAAACTTTGCAAACATTAGCTGGGTATTGAACCAGAAGTGGGATGGGTGAGAGCTCATCAAAGCCATGAGCAGGGGCTCTCCCAGTCATCTAATTGAAGCTTTCACTCTTCCTAAATTCACCATCACTAGACTTTGTATTATCCAACTACCCAAGAAAGTGCTGTCATACCTGACTGGGAACCACAGGTGGTTAGAAAACATAATGAGTTTTAGCTTCATGCCATCTTCGGAAACCCTAAGTCAAGACACCAACCTTGAAGTTAACACTGCCCTTATATTTTAGCTGCATTAACCTTTTCTTCAAGGTTCCTGTGTCTCCAATAAAGGCAGCTTTTCTCTTCTACAGTTCATCAGCCAAAGAAACACACCACCCCTCCCCATATATCTTGACATCATCTCTACTTAATACTAATTCTTATTCCAAGGAACTAAGGCCCTACATTTCTCAACAAAAGGTTGAAACAGGAGAGTTATGGAATTGCTACTTAGTTAGCAACTGCTTACCCGATGGCCTTTGACTCCTCTTATACCTGGGGGTCCACGGACTCCGGCAGGGCCCTACAACAGGAAAAGGATTTTAGAGGAAACAAATGGAAGGCAAGGAAAGGCGGCATACAGGGGTCAAACCAGAGAAAGGATTTATGAGAAGACAGTCCAGAGTTACATACTTGTGCACAACCTTCATGCATTTTAGTTACACCCGCTTGAAATACAAGGTTGATCCAGTGAGGTCTGCCAAAGATACTGCCATGTCTTCAAATCTTGTCGTGCTATCAGGTCATATCTAGAAGTGTGGCTTTGTGAATATATCAGTGATCTTTAGTTTATTAAGCTCTTCAAGGCAGGGATCATGACTGAGATTTTCAAACCTGTGTCTGAAGTATTTGGTGGCTGAATCTACAGAGATGTTGAGCATGCACAGCTCCCCAGTCAAAGCTTCTGAGAGCCACTGGGCATGTCTACATGAGACAGTAAAGTAGTTATCTGTGCAGTAAATGTCTCAGCATCTATGCATGCACCCCTATGAGGCTATTAGGAATAAACTAATTTACTTTGCAGCAGGATAGTACTTGTATTTACTTAAGGGTAAAAAACTCAGCAGCAGTGCACGTGCAGACTCCGGCTAGCCCTGCAATGAAGCACCCTTGTGCCCCATCCAGCCCCTCCACTGCACACTGAGCTGGGGGGAGCAGCCCCAGGCTGGCAGGCTGACCCCTGGGGCTCCCTGCCAGCCGGGGCTGCTCTGCCCTGGCTCAATATGCTGCAATCCTGGGTGCACGTGCAGATGTGTGCTCAGCAGCAATAAGCTCTGGAGCGATAAGTTCTGGAGCCTATTGCTGCGCATTAATAGGATGTGCCTACTGCTTAGCACCTTTAAAAGAAGTTAGGCTTGTTATTTAGGTAAATATAGAATCAGCCACCTTAGTTTAGGCACTCAACTTTAAACTTTTTGGCCAACTACAGATTACTTGTCTTTAAGTGCCTAGTGCATTCTTGGTGTTGCATAGATAATCATACTCAGATATGGAGCTCCTTTTATATTACCAGGGCTTTGATGGTCATGCCAGTAGTTGCAATAAGATCTCAGAGCTTAGTCAGTGACCTTGACATCTCTTGTGTTAACATCACAAATGCAGGAAATATACCAAAAAATGAAATATTTTCTTGTTAAGAGTCTCTTAGAACTGTAAATGAGTTCAATTACTTTACAAGGATTAGACCAATAATCATGCATTTCTAGATTGTAACTTAAATAGTGTATTAAAAACTGAGAATGACAGATTCCATATTTACTCTCAGAAATGCCACATAATGTTTTGCTATTTATATACTAAAGATTTTGCCAACTGTCAAGCCCTGAGAACTCTGCTGAGAATCCAAACAAAATCAGATTGTGATCCTTCTGCTACTTATATCATCGCCACTAATAAAGCTTCTGCTTTTGAAACACAGTTAACAGTTTGAAAAGTATAAAAGTGCAACGCACAGTTGCTTTGCTGACAGTACCCAACGTGGAATAGATTCCAACCCATTCTCTTGTAGCTGTTTGCTCTACACCATGATCTGTAGTAGAGTCTTTATTTTTTGGGTGAAGGGAGTGTATGTGACTGAGTCACACAAGGAGCAGCTGGTTCAGATGCACATTAAGTTATTTTTTAACGTAAACACACATTAAAATGAAATACTCTGTTAGTGTTTGGAAAATCCTACACATGAAGTATTTTGCCCATTCCAAAGAGCTTAGGAAAAAACCTAAATGCACAAAAAATTCACTCCAGCAATACACTCCAGGACAACTGGCTCCCACACTTAGTGCTTCAAGGAGCCATTAGTCAGTGAAGGTGGATGGCACTAAAGTGATTCCATAAATTATTGCAGAGGCTGTATGTTAACACAGGAGATGCATCAGAATGGGGCAAGGGAGTTTGTTTAAAGGCCAAAATGGGTTGAAACTGTGGGTAGAGTTTCATGTCTATCAACTACAGCTCTGCTCTCCTCTCCAAACCAGTGGAGTCATCAATGCTGCTAAGGCTCAGTGGGCTACTCTTGCCTCTAAAGGTTCATTCAACAACAAGAACAATAAGCTACAGGTTTGGTTTCAGAAGTAAATAATAAAGGCTTGTTTGGAAGAGAAATAGGCAGCAGCAGCTGGAGGTAATAATAATGGAGATTTACTACCAAGAGATTGATTCACTGGCCTGGCTGGGAAATATGGCTTATCTAATTGGGACTTTGCTTTTGTTTTTTAAGTGAACTCGTGGAGAAAACGTTTTGCTTGGATGACACTACTGGTTATTTGATGGCAGGAGAACAGGTTACTGGAGGAAGCTACAGAACTTCCACCCTTCAGATGCTCTCAAGAGACCTTTAGAGATCTGAGGATGTGTTGCTTCCTTTGGGCAAGATTCTGGTGCTCTTCCTCATGCCAAGTGCCATCTTATACTGTGTGTTGTCCCCTGACTCCCATGGTGCTGCTGGTGATGCACCGTGCTGTGCAGCATTGGGAAGGGTGGTGCACATGACCTCCCAACCATCAGCAGGTCTTTGTTATTGCAGAACCTGATCTCTGCTGAGAGGGAATTTAGGGGCTTCTCTCAACTCCTTCTTCCTCCCCTGTGCTCAGGCAAGCACAAAAAATATATCTAGCAAGTGCATGTATTTGTGGCTCAAAGAGGTACAGGGGAGCACCCCACCCACAGTGCAAACGGTGCTGCCAGTGGCAACCATGGATGATGCTACGAGGAACAGGTAAGTAGCACGCTGTAGTGTGATGCCTTGAGTCTTCAGTCACATCCTGCAACTGAAAGCCGGCTGTGGAACCAGCTGCTGGCCAGCCCAGACCCTCTGGTCAGGGCAGGATAAGCAGGCCATACCTCAGTACTGCTCTGCTCTTCTGACATCTCAGGCTGCTTACACACATGAAAAAAAATGGTGCTTTACTTTCAGCTCGTTGCACCCCTGCACCAAGTGCAGTGCATGCCCAGAAGAGGCATCATGTTAGTTTAACCCGGCTCACCCAATGTCTGTATAGACTGGGTGCTTCAGCAGGGCTTTTTGGTGCTTTTACCTAATAGCTGATTGAATCAGCTATTAGATAAAAGTGCCAAAAAGCCCTGCTAAAGGGCCTGATTTATACAGATGCTGGGCAGCCAGGCTGAAGTAATGTGCCTCCTCTTCCAATAAAGTGGGCTTTTTTCTTCTTCACGTCTGTCAGTGCCCCAAGAGACTTCTCTTTATGTCAGTTTTAGGGATATATCTATAAACTACTACTATTGCATGCCACTGTGTAAAGTGTTAAACTCCTGGTACCCAGCCAGTTAGCTGCAGTTGGCAAGAACAGTGACCAGCAGCATCTGGGAACTCTCTGAGTGGGCAGAGCTGTCAGCAGTCTTTTGGAGGCCTAACCCTTTGGCACTGATTGGACCAAAGAAATGTGACTCCTAACTAACTAATTTGTAAGAAAATCCACACATGTGGAGGGACATCAGTTAGTTCCCTGCACTTCCCTGCTCTCTGTACAACTGTCTTGTTATTTCTAATCAGTAATACACTATGCTGGAGGATCAGTGGCAGTTCTGCCAGCACGACAGCAGGGCTGTTGTCCAACCAAGGACTGCAAGAAACTAAAACCCGAGTAAAATCTGCCTTCCTGCCAATTCCATGATCCGCTCACAGCTGTTCTTGTACCATGGCAGCTCTTCCAAATGAGGGGTCCACCTGGCACCAGCTGCTCTGATGCCCCGTGCTGTATACTGCACATGTGGTACATTCTAGTGACAGGCTCCAAGGCCGCAACAGAGAAGGATTTCTGCATTGTCTGAAGGCTGCAGACACAGTGGAGCCAGGGCCTCTCTCTAAGGAGTGTCCCACTTCAGAGTTCAGGACTTGGACTTAGGGATTTGTCTGTTCCCTTACAGAAGAATGAGTTGCAAAAGTTTGGATTCACTTTGGACCTAGAGCTTCTGCTGCCTTTAAGGATTTCATTTCTCCTTTCAATCTCAGGAGAACCAGTGACCCAGGCAAGGGCCCTGCAATGGAGCAGAGAGACTTCAGCAAATGATGATGGCCGTTACTAGAACACCTGAAATGTTTACAGCAGCCGGGCAGCTCACTGCAGTGATCACAGCTGTCAAATGCACTGCTCTACTATGTTAGTGGATGAGCGGGTTTTCAGACAACTACAGTATAAATGAACGTGGGATGAATTTGCTAAGTCGCATTCTCCCTGCCTCCATTCTTCATTAGCAGCTGAAGGTAGATCCATCCATTCAAGGCACCAAATAAGCCATGTGGCACATCTTGCACAGCAAGAGAGTGTGCTGCTTTGGGGAGAAGCAGAAACCTTCTGCAGGTCTGCTACATCAGCAGTCAAATGCACAAGGGGCTAAGAGCCTTTCTGCAAGGCACCAAGCACCCTGTAACCTTTGGCTGGACATGCCCGGTGCCTTGCAGCATCAGGCCTGCAGGCAGTGTTTATACCAGAGTCCGCAAGCTTGTGGATTCATCCACCTAACTCAGAGTCTTACTGAAGTCAGTGCTGTTCTTTGCCTCATCTTCTTGCCTCACATAAGCATCATCCCTTCTTAGTGTTTCTTTCTCTAAGTCCTTTGTGCTACCTTTTTCAGTGTCTCTTGTTGACAAACTGTCAATTAAACCTATGGCTAACACAACGACCTTGGTTTTGAGCACAACACAAACTCTTTCTGTGCAGTTACGAGATGACTAGGTTTTACTTACTGGTGGTCCCGGAGGTCCTGAAAAGCCAATTCCTCCTGGTGCTCCAGGATGCCCCTACAAGATAAGAAGAATACACACCATGAATTCCTTGGAAATCTCTCCATTCTCCCTTGGTCAGTGGAAAGAGCAGGGAACAACAGAAACTAAGGCAGCATCAGTCACTTGCCAGATCAGGCCAGCTCAGCTATTTTGCTAGGGCAGAGTTTTCAGGGATAGATGTTTCAAGATCTCGGCACCCTCAACTGGAGCTACATTTTTGATGTACTCAGCTCCTGCTACGGCTACAATATAAGCATCTAGATTTTCAAAACAGACTGGCCCTGCTGCAGGCCGTGAAGGTGTGCAAGTATGTCCTTTTGTCTTGCATCAGGCCACAGAGGGAGCCAGTGGCAAAGACGCAACAAGAGCTCAGGTGGTTATTAGAGTCGGCCTTTCGACCAGGCAGGGAGCTGCAAACAGGAAGCGCTTCAGAGGCCCGAGCCCCCAAGTATTTTGCAGTTATCTTTGCTTGGCACAACAGATCCTGACTTGTTGCCTTATAGAAAATGCTTCAAAGCTCTATTGTTTTTTCAGGTTGTGGACACGTGACGTGTCTCTTTAAAAGCACTTGGCTGGGATGGTTTAGTCAGGAACGATCCTGCCTTGAGCAGGCTGCTGGATGAGATGACCTTGTGAAGTCCCTTCCAGCCATACTTTCCGATGACAATTATGACAAAGCAATTTACCCCAGACTCCAGTAAAATTGCTCTGCAGTGGGTGCCTCTACATGAGATGTTTTGCTGAGCATTAGACGAATCTAATGAGAAGTAAAGCATCAGTATCTACACGTGCACAGCAATTACTGCACAGTAGATTAGTCTAATGCACCATTTTCTAGTACCTGTAGATATTCCTGGTCAGCCTAGGTGGCTGGGCGACAGGGGGTAGGGAGAGCTGTCCTGGCTTGGCGGGATGCTGCCTCCCAGCCATGTGAGATCAGGATGGGTCCTGGTCTGTGTGGGGCTGGAAGCAGCTGCTCACCAAGCTGGGACAGCTCCCCCTGCCCCCAGGGCTTGGGAAGGGCTGGCTCTGATCTCCCTGTGGCTGGCAGGGAGCTGCCCGCCGAGGCCAGAACAGTTTCCCCCTGCACAGATTGGGGTTGCCCCCGGAGTCGGGACGGCCAGGGGCTGGCACCTGGGGGAGCCTGGAGCCCCCCCTGGCTGCTGCAGGGGGACAGAGCAGGGCAGGAGCAGCCCTGGGCTGAGCTGCTCTATCAGGTGCAATTTGCTCCCAATGTAGGCGCACGTGTAGACATGCACTCAGGAACGCTTGGATGAGCCTGAATTTTCTGCGGAGAAAATTCAGGCACATTAATTGCATGCATAGATGCACCTGGGAAGGAGGACACATATAAGCAGTTCTCCCGAAGTGGCTGCCCAGAGCAGGCACTGCTACAGAGTCTTGCCGCTAGGTGGCAGGGGAACCAGGCTGCACTGAGCAAACAGCTGTTCCTGGATGTAGTGGGAGCAGATATGCATCAAACATTTTCAACAGTTAAATCTACCCCGGATTGGAGTGATTTACTATGTAAATAGATCTGTGTGTTGTGTCTGCTCCACTTTCCTTACATAGCAAACAGGTCATGTGTCTACACTCTCAGTAAATAGAAGAGTAAATGGAGTGAACAATGCTAATAATCCTGGTGGGGTAAATGATTGGAGGTGTTTATAGCTCAACACTGGTCAATCAAATACCCACCCTCTCCATTCCCATGGAAATAGGAAGAATTTGTAGTTATTAACATTTCACAAAAAGGTTGCCAGGAGTTGTAACTTCTATTGGACCGTCACCACAAAAGATGGGGAGGCATTAGTCAGACAGAAAGTGAGAGAGAGAATGCAGACTTACTCCTTACCATCGACCCCTTGACTCCTGGTGGGCCCGGTGGGCCAACTGCGCCTCGGTCCCCCTAGGAAAGACAAAAGTGCATAAAGTACAATAAGTAATTTTGTTAATGAGTGCTATAAATGACATGATGGGAGAATGGGGATGATAATACAGCAGTTGAAAGCATGGATGATTCACACATTGCAACATCTGCTACTCCTACTTGGATCTGGGAATGCATCTGACATTTCCACAGAATATATAAATAGTGCTAGGTTTAGTGGCTCTGCCTTTTAATCAGGTTTCTGTTGTAGTGTCAGAACAGTGGTCACTGATTTTCCACTTAAAGCTGATGCTTACTGCTAAGAGATCATCCTGCTACAGCTGCATACTTCTTTCAGAAAGGTTTCCTCCAAAGGTCGGTAGCATCCGAGAATGCCAAAGCACTGGACATAAGCATGATTCATTCTCTGCACTGCTGAAAGGAACTTTTTTATTTTCCTTTTGAAAAGAAGACAGAGCGGAGGCACAGAAAATGTAGGCATCACACAGTTGGGAACTGAACTGTATAGGAAATCTTCATTCCTCATTGATCAAATGTCTAAAGGACACTTCACCCTGAAGCCTTGCTCTCCCTAAGCGTCTGTTATATTGGAAGTGGCATGGGCTGGGAAGCTTTGGTGGGGCTGCAGGGATTGTGAATGGGAATGAGACCACTATGTGTTTAGAATGAGCATGGTGATTAAGGCCAAGATTTTTAAAAGTAGGTTGTAAGCGTTTGGGGATAGGGATGGTTTTCTGGTCTGTTTGCAGAACTGTGGGGTCCTGCTGGGAGCTCCCAGGTAACATCACAATAATGGCAGTAAATAGCAACAACAACAATAATTTAGGAAGCCTGAATTTTGGAGGCACCTAATTTCAGCCACCATAAAGGGGTCAATTGTGAGCAAACCCTCAGTACTCACCTTCTAAAAATCAAGCTTTAAAAAAGGTGTCTTATAAGAGGCACTAAAAAATTAAGACATTCAAAACAGCAAGTCATTTATGAAGCTCTTGGTTGTATAGCTTAGTAACCATGCACACATTTCACTATCTTTCAATATAACCTTGGCTCCTCCACATCATACTGTTGTTCTTTGCAGATATAGAAAGCCAGGAGCCTTATAAGTGGTATTATAAATGGTATTAATCAGTAATCCAGCAACTTACTGATGTCTGACAATACAGCTGCAGCACTAACCAAAGGTTGTTTGCTCTCTCTGTCTGGATGGATTGGAGACATGTACAGCAATTGCATCAACTTCAGCTGGTAACACGCTGTGATGTTATGTGTGCAAGTTATGTGGGCCGGGATGGGGATGAGAAGGAGCTAAGAGACGCTACCAACTAGTTTACGCCCAAAATTTGACCTATCTTCCAACTGTCGTATCATATTGGGGGGAATATCTTAGATTTTAAGTATCTATTAAAACAAGTCCAAAGAAGGCATTGTCTCCAGTTGGCTTTTGTTAATGGAAGGCTTTCTTCCTGAATGCATAGAAAGGACCTGTTAGTTGTATTATCCTTTTTGATAATAGTTGGGTTCTGTTTGTTTCAGATTTTCGGTTTGGAGTTTTCTGGATAGAGACTGCTGGCTCAGCTATGCCTAATGGAAGTGTATTTCCCACTTCATTTAGTGCAAAATAATGTAGTAAGTCCTACAATGCAATTTCAGTTCAAGGTCTGGTTAATTTTTTCTTTAAGTGGGTGGTAGTTACTTCTGCCATCTGTAAGCTTGCCTTGGTACAGAAAGAGTCTGATAGAAAATGCAGCTCTACTGAGGTCTCCTAGGGCAGACTTATGGGACAGCCTGAGTTTGTCCTCACACTGATATATCATCTTTGTGTCAGAACAGTGATTTGCCACATGAGGATTGGTTTTGTGGATAAGATAATGGAATAGGACTCAATGTACCTCCTTTAGGTTGCTGACTGCTTGCTGACTGTGGGCTGGCAACTCAGCTTCTCTGAGTAGCTACAACGGGCGGTGCAGTAATACTGTCTTGCTGACAAAGAAGGTAGAGGACAGAACTTGCCACTGTCTGTTGTTTCTCTCCATGCTGTCCATTTCATGAATCCATTTAAACTCAACGGTGCTGTTAAGACTGATGTTTTCTTATTCCCATAGCTACTCAGAGTGCTTTTTGCAGCTGGGATTCAGTTACTATGTCTTTGCTCAGGCCAGGATCCTGCAGAGCTCCTGGGGAGCTGTGTGTTGACAAAGGGATCTGCATGCACGGATCAGTTTGCAAGCTAAACTTCCACTGAATTAATGCCTGGTCAGAGAGTAGGATTGGGCCCACATTTCCAGGTTTGAGGTGATATGATCCATATTACCAGTCCACAAAGAGGCTATCAAAGCCAGGAAAACTTTGCAGTGCAGGCTGGGGAGGGGGCAAGTATTTGCCCTAAGAAAAACGGGGGAAAAAAATCAGTAGGGATTGTTCTTACAGGACTCTGAATGAATGAAACAAACTCACTAACCTCTATTAGCAAAAAAAAAATCTTGCCAGTGCCCCTCTAAAGAAGAAGCGTTAGACCTTTACACTTGAAACAGAACAGACGTTTTCCACCTAGCACAAAGCAACTTTTTCAAGTCCTGGAATTCTTCATTTAGCTTTGAATTAATGTGACCGTAAATCTCATAGTTTTCCATACTCTCCACACACACGCACGCTGGCCAAAAATTAGAATAGCTGATTTATTTGCAAACAATTCTTACCTTCTCTCCTACTATTCCAGGTTCCCCTACTGGACCAATGAAACCCATCAGACCCTGAGGACAACAGAAAAGTGCAATTAATTTTCTGATTTATTTGCTTAGAGAGTAAACAATTTATTTGGGTTACCTTGCTGGCTGAGTTAGCACGGCATCCCGCATTGTACTGCCCAGGAATTCTTATTGGCTCCTATAGAAGACAAGAGTTGCTTCTAGCTATAGGAGGAGCTAGCTCGCCAGCTGCTTCTGCTTTATAAGCCAGCTGGAGATTTAGTGCTAGCATCTATAAGAGCCACAACATACAATACCAGGGACAAATTGTTGACTTGGCTGAGAGCATTTGGTGGAGAGGCCTACTCCATGGCAGGGTTTTCCTTTGCTAACGTTTCCTGATGTTAATCCTCTCTGTGCAACTCCACCAGGAATATCAATAGCCGGAGCTCCACACACCAGTGGTCACCAGCATTTTAACTGCTGCATTGTTTAGACCTGCTCTGGGTTAGGTGGGATTAAAATGTCTGCAGATGCTTAGAGCCCTGCATTAACCATCATTACTACTGGTGGAGCCTTACCATTGGGATGTCTGCGGGGAATTAAGACCAGAGCAGACACAGCTAGCTGGGCTAAAAGAGCAGTTAGATTTGTCACACTAATCAAAAACCCTCTCAAAAACAAAGCAAGATGCAGGCTCTCTGGGATCCAACCTCATTTGGGATAATGAAGAAACACAAAGAACTGCTTTTAATTATGAAGAAGGAAATGGATACTCTCAGCTGAAAATTCCTGAGAGACTGTTTACAGACTCGGTTAAAGTATACCACCCCCCACAGCCAACTTCAAACAAGGGTATGGCTTTAGAAGCACAATAAGCATTTTCCAATCAAAGCTGGTGCCATTTTTGCTCTTGTTGCAGGGCTGCTGGAACAGCTAATAGTCCTGACCATGATCCTTAGGCTTCTTACTGGATATGGAGTCTTTTTTAGATCATCCAATAGGTCCCATATTGATCACTCCAAGCATCTCCCACTGCTTGGGCCAGGAATGAAAGCCATGCTCTGGCTTGCATAGTTAGATCAAAGGTCCAGCTGCAATGCGGATGAAGCTGCTGACTGTGTCCCCGATGATCGTTTGGAGGAGGACATGAGACCACTGTGGCAGAGCCTGCTGGCCAGATCCACTGTGCTTCTGGACATGGGCTTTTGAAGTGTAAGGCTGGGAGATGGTATTTAAACCCGCTGTGCAAGCAGAGGACCCTGATCATGAGACCTTTGGGTGGACAGACTCATGTTATGGCAATCTACAGAACTGAACCGTTTGAAGAAGGAAGCAGGTGGAGGGTATTTAAATAAACAGGGATTTCTTTGGGTTGTGAAGTGAAGGGGGACAAAAAGAACTGTTCACTTCTGTAAATTCTGCATTGCAAGATGGGGCTTCTGAAAAGAGAGCAGGAGGAATGGCTCCATGAAGCTTAGTAAGATCCTCCATCAGGTCTTTGTGTTTGTTCCAAGCCAAATGGAAAAGGTTCTTCAAACTATCCTGGTTCTTTTGTGGCCCAGAGATGGACACAAACTGCAAAGACTGGATCTGAGCCTTAAAAGTTTCAGGCTGTTGAGATCTAGGATTTTGGTTAGGTACATTAGAGGACAAGGAGCGTAGGATGAAGTTCAGATTCAGGTATGACCTTCAAGGCTCTGGGACCATCTCAGGTGCATTTAGGAAGGTAGCAAGTAGGCAGTATGCTCCCATGGACTGAACTTCAAGGAAACACCTACTCTGGACTCCTTTAAGAAGTGTTTGGATGCGCATCTTGCTGGGATCCTTTGACCCCAGCTGACTTCCTGCCCTTGGGGCAGGGGGCTGGACTCGATGATCTCCCAAAGTCCCTTCCAGCCCAAATGTTTATGAAATCTATGAAATCTGTTTCTAGCTCTGTTGTTGCTTTGCTGTGCAACCTTGGGCAAGGCACTTAGCAACTCTGCATCAGCTTTCCTATTGGTCTGAGGTCCTTTCACTTCTATAGTACAAAGTGCTATGTGCATTATAAGTATTAAGTATTATTATTAAATCAAAACATATTAAAGCATGTACACTGATGACATCATGTAATCTTGAACTCATGCAACATGCCTGGAAGGATTAATTAGAGTGTTATAGTGGTGAACTCGGGAGAGGCTGAGGGGGCTGGAAAATGGAGCTATTTTCCCCATGAGACAGAAGTGGAATAAGGAGTTCTCCTCCTAGAACTTGTTTAAGAGCAGAATGGAAGAAAACCACCGTGGGAATAAAACAGGATGCAGAAAGCACAGATGGTAAACTCTTTGGGGCGAGTCTCACCTTTTTTTGTATTTATAGCATCACAGGACTCTAGTTCACAATGGGCTCCTAGGCACTTCTGCAGTATAAGTAACCCTAGTGATATTATAAGCCAAAATGGACTCAAGAGAGAGTGTGAAACCCAATGTTTCTGTCTCCAGTACTCTTGATCCGGTGCCTCTCACAAGAGCCGATCCCTTTTCTGACGGTTTTACAGTTCTCCCTGCCGTGCCCCGGCCTGAGGGATGGAACTGAAAAATTCTTTGTACAAATCTGCATTGTGAAAAAAAAATCCACCATACACAGTGTGACTATGATGCACAAAAGTGAAACTGGGTTTATCCTAAAGGCAGAATAAGTTGAAGCCTGAACTGTTCAGCACCAGGACACAGCAAAGGAGGGTAAATCCATGACAACAGGCAAGCTGACTACAGAGTGACATCATCCCTAGAGGCTGATGGACCACTTATCTTTTTCAATTAGACACAGATACCTATACACAGTTGGTGACTGATATTCAGAGCGTGGATTATTTATTGACCCAGGGCTTGAAACATCTGGTTGGTTTTAAGGCATAGACTAGAATGACCAAGGAATTGCACAGGCTGACTACTAGCATAAAAGATTAAAAACCGGACAAAACATGCTTTGCAGTTTGTTTGACAAACCAGAGATGACAGATCCTCTCACACCAAGTTAAAAAGGACACAGAAAAGCTCCGATGCTTCTAACCCACTCATGCAATGGACGTGCTACTGAGACTGCTGAAAGCAAAGTGGTTTTAAAGTATTTCCAAAGGGTTTGGTGCACTGGAGCCTCTGTCAAAATTCAGGCTGAGGAAACTGGACTACCAGTGAGATGCCCACCATGCAGCAACAGCTTTTACAACATGAAGTTTTCATGGAGAGAGCATAAGAGGACAACAAGGTTTGGAAAACCAAGGAGGCCACTAATTGGATCAAGAAGCAAGATGGAAAGTCTGAAGGAAATGGGATGCACTTTCTGTGGTTATGGATCCTTTGGCTTGTGCTTCTTGGCACCCGCCTTCCAGTGCCATGCTGATGGGTTATGAGATACTGGAAGAGAAATTCAATAGGCATTGTTAGGAAACTGGAAGGGCCGAAGGAAGGAGTGACGACTGGATTTCAGTTCTTGGTACCTCCAGTCAGAGAAAGAGTTTTCTCTCTGCTGGTGGCTTCTGTGCTCAGTTATAACTCAAAGGATAACTTGATTGCTTCCTGCAAATGAAGCAACAATTGGTCTGCTCTGCCAAGATGGCTTGTCAGCAGAGAAATCCCAGTGGTGTAGGATCAGTTCCAGCACAGGTGGTCCTCTGCCTCTTGCAGTTCATGCTGACATTCTGCAATGAATTAACCCATGCAAGGGACATATTTGAAAGCAGACACAAACAGCATAGTTGTGTCTAGGTAAAAATAAAGACCCAGTGGCTGCGTCTACACGAGATGCTACTGCGCAGTAGCATCAGAAAAAACCCATGCGGGGACACCACTGTTAAGTAACACTGGTTACGTGCAGTCATTTAGTACTTGGTTATGCAAGTACTAAATGACTGTGCAGTAACAACTGTGCAGTCCACTGCTCATGTAGATGTGGCCAGTGAGTTTATTGAGGGCACGTGAAATAACTAGGGGAAATTGGCTCACAAAGCTCTCGACTGGCCAAAATGTGATGGAGACACTGAACAGAATGCAGGAAAAAAGTAAGTCTTGAAATGCCCCAAAAGAGCCAGTGGTGGTGGCAGATACCGAGCCAGGAATCCACTGAAAATGGTAGGCTCAGGCTGTTGCCACTGCAACAAAATGGATCTTGCATGAAGCTTTTTGCTTACTTCAAGGAGCAAATACAATGCTGCTGAAACACAACTTCAAGAAGCGTGTGTAACTGCACGTGAAATGCCGGCAGCAAGGATCCCATGGATAACAGTCACTGTTAGGTTTACAGTAACAGTTTAGGATACACTAAAGCAAGTAAAGCTTTGGATGAGGAGTTCAACATGTCATTCATGATGCAGTTGGCTGCATTCGCCCTCCGATGAGAGAGAGAGAAAGGGATGCTGATTCTTACTCACAGGGAGGGAATCACAGATTGTAATTCTTATCTTAGTCTGGTTGTCATGCAGCCCCCATCAGAATTAAACCTCTTCCCTGCTTTTTTTGCATCAACAGCAAGCAGCTCAGCAGGGACGTCTTGCATAAAACACACCGCATTTGAAGAAACAAGGACGAGCAGAGCTCAGCATGAACAGGAGCTCCCAGAGACCGACGGCCCATCAGTCACTCCCAGCAGGACCTGACCATGGCCCTTTTCTGTTTTACTGGTTCGTTAGAGCTGGAAACAAAACAAATGAAGGCACAGAAGGATGGGGGGCTAATGTACAATAATCCTATTCAGATGGAAGAAAGGGAAAGTAAACCAGTAAAAAAGAGAGATTGGGGAGGATGCTCTGACCCGTGTTGTGTGTCTGCAGAGCAAATTCAATGTGGCTTTAATTCTCTGCACACGAGAGCTCAGCCTCTACCTTGTGGCTCTACCCACTTCTTAAGCACTGAACAGAAGAAGGGTTTTGCCCTCATGTCTCCACTTGATCCAGGAAAAGCGCAACACAACTGCAGACCCTCCCTCTACCTGAAGAAGGATGTCTGTACCCGAAAGTTTGCAAAGGTGAATTTTTCAAACTATTTTAGTTGGCCTAATAAAAGGTGTAAGATTTACCCAAAGATCCTTATTTGTCCACTTGAGATAGGAGTTTGCATATGCCGAGGATGACTGCTGACCCTCAAGAACTGGATAAAAGTGAATTACGCTGGACCAAAAGATTCATGGAGATGGGGCCGTGACAGGTGGCGTATTCAGCAGTCCAACAAAAGTAGCAGGTGTGGGTAATACAGACAGGATGTTATAGGCACAGGATCTTCACCACGGTGTCTGCACAGATCCAAGTGTCGAATATCATTGTACCGTCCCAGTAGGATGTGATCAGTACGTCACTGAACATCATGACCTACATGACAGAGCAGGCGATAAGAGTTACTCTTCTGTTAAAAATGAGGGAATCCAAGGAGATGTTGTTGTGACAAGATCTCCTTCCTACTGAGTGCACATGCCACGCTCAGGCTCTTTTTGCTGGTGTGCCTAATCGCTAGCATTTCAATTTTCAGAACAAGGCAGGCAGGGGGGCTGTGCCCTTGTGGCACCTTTTCCTGGCTTGTTACTTTGCTTCCTGTTGGAGGAAGGAAGGCATCTCCTCTTTCGTGGTGGCACAGTAGGTTGGTTTCTGCCTCCAGCAAAGATCCTCAGGCAGGTCGTACCCTTGCGACGTGTTTCCGCAGCTCCATTGCAAGGCAGGCGAGCAGTCTTGGCCCCTTTGACTTCTTTTCTCAGTCAGCATCTGTCTCCACCTACTGGCAAGGAAGGGTTAAGCCAGACAGTTCCCGGCTCCAGGCGGAATTCGGCAGCTGGAGTCCTTTCCGCATGTTGAGACTGCAAGTGTCTTATGAATGAATTTCCTGAGTCAGTTTCTTTGCAGTGGAAAAACAGCGTATCAGGGGCCACCCCATGGCTTTTAGAACTCTGTCTTCCCAACGAACGCTCGAATAACACTGGAAATCTTTCAAAAACACCCATGTTTGCTTAAACAGATGTCCACGGAAGCAGAGAGGAAGCACAGTGAGGAGACGCATATGCGATCTTATTTCACACCATCATGCTGGGAGTTCCCAATCAGCAGCAATTTTTGCCGAGTGCCGAGCAGAAAATATGAAAAGTCTCATTGCTCGGGTTATGCCTACAACGCCGAAAACATTGGAGCTTCTGAGTTATTCCCTGTGTCTTGGGAAGAAATGGAATAGGCAAGGACCAGATCTTTCAATGCCTGAGGATCTGGGGTTGCATTTTTTCCCCCTTTCCTGCCAGTCCTCCCACCCAGCTGTGAAAATCTGCTGATATTGGGTAGTCTTGACTCCAAATGATGCCATTTGCAGGGGGAAAAATACTCCAAGCATTGTGTAGCAAAGATATGATGAGAAAGGAGGTCATATAACATTAATCTAGTGTGACATTTTTTTATACTAATGACTCAACTGATAAGGAAATAGCATTTTTTCTGGGTGATACTTCTAGGCAGACTAATTGAGTAAAAACAATACAGCCAACTTTCCTCCCTCTCTTCTGGTTTCAGAGTCAGCAGAGGCCAGCTGTGTTTGCTTTTTAGTGAATAATGTCTAGCGTTTTTATCCAGAGTTGGTTTTGAATGATTTTAGGCTCTCAAAGTACTTTCTAAACATTCATAATTATTTGTAATGCAACAGCATCTAGAGGTCCTGTCCAAAATCAGCGCCCTGTTATGCAAAGTGCAATTCACAGTAAAAACCGATCAAAAGAGATGCCAGCCTTGACAAGGTTACAATCTCCACTGATTAAACCTCTCACAGTGCGGGATGAAGTAGGGTGGCCTTCCATTCTGTCATGGGGAAATTGGGGCATGGAGCCTTTAAATGAGTTGCCCAAGTCCACACAGAAAGGCAGTAGCAGAGCCAGGAAACTGAAGCCAGGTCATCTGATTTCTAGTTCATGGCTTTCAAACCTCTGTTATTTATCCTTCCTAACCTGGGCTCCAATTTTGTATAATTATCACTTTTTTTCCTTTGATTGAGTGTACCGCACTGAGAATGGAGAGGTTGATGCACAATGAGGTTCTTGTTGTACAGTTATTTGCACTCTCCCGCTCTAGCTCTCCAGAAGCCCCACAGCAATCTGTCCAAACAAACGAGCTTAAAGTAATTGAAAATGATACTATGCTAAGCATCTCCTCTTCGTCAGTGGTTCTTTGTGAACCAAATCATTATTAAAAACAAACAAATAACTATCCCTTGCTACCAGGAAGAGGATAGCACGCTCCACTTCCAAGGAAGCCATGAGGGGTTGGAAGCTCTCTATCCTGAGATCACAGTCCTAAGAGAAGTCAGCCAGGTAAGCTCAGCGAGAGCAGCAGCAGGTATATAGTACTTAGCTCTTATATTGTGCTTTTCATCAGTAGGTCTCCGAGCACTTTGCTGTCTTTAAGGTTGGGCTCACTGAAGCACAAAGTGGTGAAGTGGTGTGTCCAGCTGAATCGACTGGCCTGGGTTCAGAGGTGTGTCACCAAAGTCCCTATCCTAGTGCTCTACACACTGCACCACACTGCTTCCCATCATTGCTTTGTTTTTGTGTTTTTTTGAACAAGTATTTAATTGACGGGCTCTTTTAAAGAGGAGCTTCCAAGAGTATGTGAGTGTTTATGAGAGGTTACATGACACCTATGGGAACCGCCATCCACTAGGCAGGCTGGCTAAATCTCGGAGAAATCCTGCTGGTACTGCAAATTGCTGCTTTGATCCTTTGGATGTGCTTGGTCAGAGACCCATAAGACCAACAATCTCCACTTGTTAGATGCAGTAGAAAAAACAGCTGGGGTGGCTGATAAACCGAAGTACACAGACCAGAAACACTGACCGAGAAGCAATGAGAAATTCGTACACCCCTTTGCCAATGGCCAGTCAGCCTCTCAGGAGCGCAGGCAAAGTCCTCTGCATCTGGCTCCATGTGGTCATGTCAGAATGAGAAGAATGTGTCGGAGGCTCGGTGGCTGCAATTTCAGGGTTGGTGGTGGGTAGGTTGGGTGATGTCCATCACAGGGAGAGGGTGCACATTTGCTTCTTTTTCCCTGATGCCTGTGGTTTCCCAGAAACCTATAGGCATGACGTATCTTCCCATATTTCCCAGTCCAAATTTCTTTTCTATGACGGTGAAGCAGGGGCTCTCGTCTTTGTTTTGTTACCCAGGGCCTGTTCTTCCCAGTGTCAAGTGCCCTCTGCTTCCAGCGATCAAGTGCAATGTGAGGAAGCTCCGAACCTTACAACAGAGCCCACACATGGCAGGATGAGATAGACTCCTGAAGATGTGCCGACCATTAAAAATGCAAAAAGAACTTGGGAAACATATTTCTAGTAAGTTTATGAAGGAAAACAGCATGTGAATCTAACTCCTAGTCATGCTGTGTAGTTTATCGACCAGCAGCTACCCTGAAAAAATTGTCTAAGCCGTCTACAAAAGAACGGAGAGGAGACAAACTGTAAGAGACAAGAAGGAGAATCACAAGAGGTTCTGGTTTTACAGCATGAATGGTAAAAGCACTGGATGCCATTGATGCAAAACTGAAGGATTTGGCCACTTTGTGGAAGGGTCACAATCACCGTATGCTCTGTTAGGATTTTCTTGGAAGCACTTTTAAAGGTGCACACATCAGCACCCCTCTGCATCTCAAGCTGTACAGAGGAGAGACTGCTTTGTAGAAGCTGTCTACAGAGTGCCTGGCACCCCTATAAATACCACTGGTAACAACATCTGGACATTAGAGAGCCACAGGATGCTTTGGGTACAGGGCCATCAATGCCCTGAGCCAGTCGTATTGATGGGTTGATGATGGATGACAGAATCCATTTTGATGGGAATGAACAATTTTGCAACAAAAGTTGTGAGGCCTGTTAAGGGTCAGAGGAAAGCAAAGAGGCAAAGCAAAGAGGCAAAGCCAAGAGAAAATCCATTTTCTTTTGGGTTGAAATTATGAGGCTCCTATATCCATGCAGGGTATAGTGGCTCCTATACCCATTTCCTGGTCTGACACGCTGGAAATCCAGTGCATTGGAGCAGACTCGATTATTTGAGTCTGCTGGGCCTCAATTACAAGATTAATTGAGTCTGCTGGAGCACAGAAATTAATGCATGCCGGCACACTTCAGCATCACGTGCATCACTGTCCCTGCGCTGGAAAATGGTGGCAGTGCTTTGAACTGAACCTCGCTCAATGAGCTTCAGTTCAAAGTGCCCCGCCATCCTTTTCAGCATGGGGACCCTGATACACATGACGCTTGGGCACTTTTAATTAGTGCAGCTCGCTAATTAAAGTGCCCCCCTATGCCTCCCAGAGCACATATAAAAATGCCCGTGAAAAATATCATCCCTATAAACTATATGCTCTTGTATATACTGGTATTATAACATCCCAGTATTAATAATAATAAAACATTTTCATAAATTGTAGCATTTACCCAGTATTCCCTATCTATGGATTGTTACCCTGGTTAGAATAGGCTGTGTGCTGATGCAGCCTCTGTTCCCTGGGACCAAAGCCTGGCAGTAAGGAGGTATTTGTAACATCAAATTTGCAAAGCTGCGTGTTTGATTTGTGTCACTGTCAGAATGACTTTAGGCAACAAGTCAAGTTTCCCAGCCTGGAACAGGAACCAATGTTGAAATAAGTATATGAGAGATGTTCAAATGGGCAAGGAAAACAATGCGTTTACCTGCTCACCAACTTTTCCTGGCCGGCCTCGATTTCCGGGCTCTCCCTGCATGAAATGGAGAAAGATATCACAGAGGTTACTGAATGCTGCTGCAGCAAAGCTCTT